CAGTAGGTGCACTGATGCTATCGCGCCTGCTGCCACTCTGAAATATTACCCAACTGTACGCAATTCTGTAATGCAAACTGCCCTCCAATCTGTAAGATGCCAATAGTCTGTGCACCAAACTGCAATGTGATGGTCCCTTCCATGGACTGGCAAATATGAATAATCCTGAAACAATTAATCCCGAATATCTGTGCAGGCAAACGTAGTGCCGCAACTGCAGTGTCAGCTGCCAGCGCCGTTGGATACCCCATGTCCTGTGACAGTCGTGGCCCAGCTGCTCTGGCTCGGTGTAGTAGTCCAGGGGGGGCGTAGAACCTGTGATAGCATTCATCCGTTTCGGCCCACATTGCCTCTTCGTCAGCGAGCTGTCCCCAGTGGGCTGCGAATGCAGTTGCCATTGCCTTGCACAGCATTGAAGGATATTATTTGAGGGGGGCGGTCCTCCAGCCGCCTTGGCCGTCTCGTCCGTAAGCTCTGTCATGTCCGTTATGTCGACATAGCTGTCCCCCAGGTACCGCCCCCAGCTCCTGTGTAAGTTAACTGAGGTGCACCGCCATCAGGCATGTTGGCTTTCGCGCGGCCTGCCCAAACTGGCACTGGTCTATGTAGTGCAGTTCGACGCTCGTCTGCTCCAAAAGCCAGAGCGTCTCCGCTCGCTGCCAGCTGCTCGGCGCTTGAGGACACCAAGTGGCTGGAGCGGGATGCTCGAGTACGGCGGATACATTGTACTGCAAGCCAGTGGTGATGAGTAGTAGAGCTGTCCTGTATAGCTCGTTAGCTAGTGCTATCTGTTGACGCTCCGCTTGATTGGCTGCTTGTATGCCCCAGGGGAAGTCGTGTGTACGTAGTGGCCGTGGAGCTTTTCCCTCGGCGGCATGCCAGCGCGATGAGCACCACGTCTCGCAGGGGGGGCCAGCAACAATGCCAACTATTTTGCCCTGTCGTATCGCCGCGCACCAAAACTCGACGACGTCTGGCTTCGTCAGGTCTCCTTTGTCGGGGTCTATCTGCACGTCGATCGATAATACTACCAAGTTGCATTCCCGAATGTTCATCTCGAAGTGGTGCTGGAAATCCTCGGTTCGGCGTCTGCCTGAGAAAAGGTGCAGTAAGAACATAGCCGTAGTAACCATGGGCCTGCACGGTGCGAATGCACTTGCAGGTGGCGTCGCTGGTTGAGGGGCCGCTGCTGCAGGCGGCGCCGGCGAGAGCTGGAGCTGATGCTGTTCGATGTGGTCGGCCAGCTTGATGTGTATGACCTGTTGGGCGGGCACCAGCGCCTTTGTAGGCTCCATGACCCATTGCCTTCCTCGTCGCCACAGCCTCTCGTTCCTCTTCTCGGCGTTCGACTGCCTCCTGCAAATCCATTGGGACTTCAATTGCTTGGAGTACAGCCAGGCACCTGGGGCACCTTCTCAGGTGCTTGAGTATACGCGATCGCGTTGTGAAGTCCTTCCCGCACCCAGGGCAGGTTGTCGAACGGGCGAGCAATTCGGGGAGGTCGTAGCCGATGTGCTCCATGGTGCGATGGCGCTTCTATGCTCCACGAGTTTTTAGGATCTTGCCACACTCATAGCATATGTAGCCACTGTGTTGTGCAGGTGGCCGTCAATAGAAGTTGGGCGTGGTCAGTCCAAAGTCTTGCGCTAGTCGGTGCAACTGCCTTTGCCATATCCGATGTCGGTATAAGTCGTGCTGCCATGCCTTGTACCTGAGCCACGCACGCGTGATCATGGCTTGTGCGGCTTGCACTTGCTGTGTTCGTAACCATCGTACCAAGCCCCTGATGTCGCAGCCAATGTCCTCGTCGTCTAGTAGGAATCTTCTTATCCAGTCCAGATCCTCGACGATAAGTGCATTCCAGGCTTTACTGTCCCCCCAGAGCTCGTCGATGAGGCGGTGGAGGAAGGGCGTGTCTGCATGCGCCATTCTGGCCAAGTACATCAGGCGCCGTCGGCGCAGGTACATGTGGATCGGTACTTCATCGCATATCAAGTATATTTTTCGTCGTCCAAAGTATGTACGTACCCCGCGCCATGTCGCTGTTGCCGTGCGGCGGCCCGTAGGCTCGCCATGTGTCTGCTCTGCAACATATGTTTCTGCTGTGCTGTCAGCGGCCCCCATACTTCGCAGTCGTAGGTCAGCTTGCTCTGCGCCAGTGCCGTGAGATACAGCAACTTGGCTTTGAGGTCGATGTGCGGCAGACGGAAGATGGACTTCTTCAAGGGACCCTCTGCGGATCTGTGATCGATGATGCGTCTCATAAGGTTCGGTCCCTCACCGCCATCACTTGCCACAATATTGCCCAATGTGAGTCCCTGGGTCGTGACCTCAGCTGTGGTGACATCAGTGCTGGTCGGCAGCTGGCAATCATCGCGTTGAAACGTGATGGGGTTTGTCTTGAAAATCTTCGCCTTGATATGTTGTTTGGCGTGCCCGTCAATATGCAGCAGAGCTTTGGTCTTCTTGGGGTGTAGGTCATGCCCGAAGATCTTGAGTC